TGAAGGAGAAAGCAAAGACAAATGCAACTGGTCTTTAACTTGTTTCTTTCTTTCCCACAACCATGGGGACTGGAAGGGGTAGGGGCTGTTTCCTTCTTCCTGTGTGGAAGGGACTTCCCCTACATCATTGTCTCCTTCCTGAGGGTCATTAATCTTTCTGGTTCAGTCTCAATGATCTTCTTTATGCTATGGAAGATATCCTGTGATTTGAGCTGGCCAGGTAAAGTTGGGAGTCCAAGATGGCTAGAGACTTAGAGTCACAGAAGATGAAAATACTCTGGTTGAATAATTCCTAAATAGTATATCCATTATATGTGACACAATACTCTGGATTCCTCTAGGAGAAATTCTGTTCCCAGAATTAATCATTCTAAAAATAACAGCTAATATTATTGACTGCTTATGTTGTGCTAGGCATTTTCTAAGATATGTATTTGAACCACATATAATCCTATGATGTAAGTACTATTATCATTCCTATTTTATAGATGAAGGGGTAAGGAGTATAGTAAAATTCGCATGGTTAAGTATGAATTACTATTTGAACATGATTCTGACTGTGAATCCCAGGGTCTTTCAGTACACTTCTTTCTTCAACCTGCTGCTGGAGTTTGTTCTCCTTTTAAACACTCTTCATTCTATGTGTTTGTCAAATCAAGCTATTTTCTGTTCCACTTATATTCTATCTCATTTCTCCTCTTCTATGTCTTTGCTCATTCTGTCCTCTTTGCCTAGAATACCCTCTTCTCACCATTCTCCATCTTCCAGAGCTCTGCCTAACTACTTCCCTACTCCAAAGTTTCTCTGATTCCCATGGCTGGAAGGAATCTGTCTTCTAAATTCTCTCCATTTTTGTGCTTACAGTGTCTCAACCTCAACATGGAATTAATCATATATCATTTCAAGAGTCACTTTCAGATTCAGGCTTGCACTCCCATTTTTGTGCAGCCAGCACAGAGACTGGCTAAGTGGGCAGAAGACCTTCTGCACACACTGGACCATCCCTGCTGCAGAGTTCAGTCAAAGTATTGTGTCAGGAACCTGCCTAGGAGTTCGATCCAGAGCTGGTAACCTACCAGCATTAAATGAGACTCTGGAGATGACCTCTTTCATCTCAGCCTGTGACTAATACGTGGAAATTCAGTTAACAAAGGGATGAAAAGACCTTGCATCTATATGACCTTCTGTTCCAAGAGCTGACCACCTGCTTCTTGGAGGCAAACCCCTGCCTACTTCCCTCTATTCGATAATTACTTATTCTTTCCAAGTTCCAATGAATCCCTCACCTCCTGCCAATTTGTTTTATCTGAAGAAAGTGCCAAACACATTTTTTTTTCACACCAGCTTATCTCGTGGGAATATTGTCCTGTATTTGGAGCTCTTTAAGCATCTGTAAAGGAGTAAGTGGTTCAAGCAACCCAAGGAGGTGATGTGTAGCCTGGTTGGTGTACCTCAGGAGAGAGGCTGACCTGGTGACCAGAAGGCATTTGGTTCCTGGGAGGCACAAAGAAGGACCACTGCTCAGGATCAGCCAGCTGGAACTTGTGTGATGATTGCACACTCCGGCCTTGGACTTGCTTTGCCTTTGAATATGAGAAAGCCCTTTTCCCCACAGCTTACTTTTCCTAGGGCCAGGGTCCCCTCTTCATAATCTGCTTTCCCACATGGCTCCAGCACTACATCTAAATAGTTCCATGTGTGTTCAAGCCAAATGTGCTCAGACCTCTCCCTGAGGGGGCATTTCTCTCAATAGGAGAAAAGAAAGGCAGGAGCGCTAGAGTGACCCCGGTGTAATTCTGATTTCTCTGGAACCCTGGGGTCTAGATTATGAAGTCCCTTGGATGGATGCACTCTTTGCTTGCCAGAAGGAAGGAAGTTATCTTTTGTGCAGTTTAAGATTCTCCCAGGAGGTCAGAAACCAGTTTAAATGGCCCTTTAAACATTCTTAGAGGAAGTCCCCTCCTTTGGACACAGGAGGGCAGTTACTGAATGCAGCTCACTAGACCAGAGTGAGACCTTGGGGCAATGTTTTGGCTCCAGCAAATGTTAGTGTTAGCTGTGCATCCTTAAGCAAGACATTTCCTCATTTGAAATTCAGATCTTCTCACCTAAGAAAGGAGTGAGTTGAGTTACATGTCCTAAAAGGCCTTTTCCTGCTTTGGTGTCCTATTGAGGTGTAGTTGTGTGTGTGTGTGTGTGTGTGTGTGTGTGTGTGTGTGTGTGTGTTTTCTTGAGCCCAAGGGAGAGATAATGGTTAAATTGAGGAGATATGATTCAAAGCCAAAAATTTCCCCTAGAAATAGAACTACTTTAAGTCTTCTAACCACCTCCCATGTGTCACTTTTTCCTTCAGAAGTCTGCAATTGGTCTTTATCCATGAAGGGTCTGAAGCCATCTTTTGATTTCTTCAACTCGAGAATCAACTTATTTTTGATGTTGGATGCTGAAAGAAAAATCTAATAGCTTCATCACAAAGCCATCCTTCTCTTACTCTGGCCAAGGAAATGGATCCATTTTGCCAAAGGAGATTAAATTTCCAATATATAATAGTATATATGAATGTTTATATATCTCAGTGCATCAAAAGTATCTTAAGCTTAGCATTAATTAGTCTTGAAAAGAAAAGTGTAAACACAAGTGCAATTAATTTATTACCTTAACACCAGTTAGAGGAATGAACAGTCTCCATGCAAACAGCAGTTTTCATTAAACAAACAAGATGATTTTAAAATGAAAGGGTAACGTGAACATGGAGTAGTGGTTCTTTGATTTATTTGCATACATGAGTACACTCCTGGGCTGGCAGCTTGAGGGACGTGACCAAGATGAGGCTGGTTGCTGGTGTGAGCTGCCACTGTTCTAAAAATGCCTTCAAGAACTTCCTTCTCTCTTTCAAGGTTGGATTGTTTAAATGGCTATAACTTCATTGATATCTAAATATACTAACATATAGAAGATTAGCAGGGAAAATGCTTCAACAGTGTGGTTAAGGTTCCATATGTTAATTATTTCATTTGATAACAGCATAACACTTTAATTCACTGGAAAATCACAAATTTCACCAATAGTTACAAAAGTTGTTTCAGTTAAATTTAAATGAAGGGAGGATGGTATGTTTTAGTATAAAAAGGAAAAAGGGACTGAATTCTTTTGACAGACACAATTGGTAACAGTCTACTCTTAAAGAATCATCTTTAGGAGAAGAGTCAGGACAGGGGTAATAAATAAAAATGCAGTTATCATATTTGTGAAAATGCAGATAACCCCAAAATATTTACTTGCTTGGCTTTAGAATGCATTGTGTAATTTTGTCTAATCAGAATTTATAAACAATTTGGCTTAGCCTAATGTTAAAGTGAGTTTGCATTTTCTGAGGGTACAATGATTGGGCTGAAGGTGAACCTGCTGGGTGGTGATGGAGGAAAATGTTGGTTGAAACATCACTGTTGGATTAAAAACACCAACAATTAATTAAACACACACACATACACACACAGAGACAAGCAAACAACTAAATAACCCCTTCAGTATAGAAGAGCAGGAATTGCCCAAATGTGGGTCATTTGGGTCAATCCCAAACCATTTGTATAGACTCTGCTTCAAAATGAATCAGGAAGAAATGAAGACAACTACACACAATTACCACAGATGTGTGATAATACAGACTTAGGCAGCCCTGGGGTGTGCTGTTTAGCAACATGCAGGGAAGACTATCAACACTTCTATGACCACAGGGATACTGAAAGTTTGGAGTGGGGTGTGGGTAACTGAGACTCTGAAGTTGAATCTTTCTGATTATAACCCAGGACAAGGATTCCTTTTTTGCCCTGATGTAGATGGACTGCACTGAGAAGAGTTCAGGGATCACTGGTCCATAGACTAAGGTTGAAAAAGTGGGAGTGTTTCTCCATAATAAGCCACAGTGGATGGGGTCCAAACAAATCATTCAATATCTCTTATCCATTCTCATCACTTGTATAGTTGAAAAGCACTTTTACAAACTATGACCTCAGTGGGCTTGCCCAACAGTCCTGTAAGGCAGGCAGAGAAGATATTTTTATCAGCCCTGTTTCGTTGAACAAAACTGAGATGCAGAGACAGTAAACATCTAGGTCACATGAATTAGGACTTGAACTCAGGTCTCTGGATTCCAAGTAGAGCTCATCTTTGCAAGGGAGGGTGTGTTCTAGAAAAGTGGCCCAGGCCTTAGCAAAATGGCCACAAAGATTATGTTCATTGCCAGTGGCAAACTCCACCCCTTTCTCTGTCCCATTACTCCCTGACACTAGAGCTGCTGACATTCTTCACATTAAGGTTTCAGGAACTGGATGTGTTCCTCATTTCAGGATTGTCTGTCTTCACCCAAAAGAATAATGAGTTTTCAAGCATCAGAGGAAAAGAAAATTTTTTGGTTCTTTCCTTTGAAATTACACCATTATAGATAACCAATGACCTGGTTATGAGAAAAATTCTTTTCTGGCAGCCAGAATCCTAGAGAATGTTCTAGGGAGGTCATAAGATCTGGGTGGGAAAGCTCAGTGTGATGGCGTGAATTGTCTTCCCATGAGGCTGTAAACCCCACACTCTAATTCACCCTTTTATCTCCATTGTGCTGCATTCTGTAGGCTTTGACTTTCCTGCATTGGCCAGATATAGAATGAGGAAAGATGAAGAATGAGTCTAGATAACCATCTGTGGCCTCTGTTTGACCACCTAAATATCTGGATATAGCTTAATGACTCCAATGGCTTCTGCCATTTCATTTTGCTATTTAAATATTTTCGCACAGTAGGTAATCAGTAAATGTCAGCTCCTGTTGCCCTTATCTAATCTTGCTGGTGTGGTTGTGCACACAGTAGGTGTGGAGCAGGTATCAGTAAATGTCAGCTGCTGTGGTTTGTGTCTAGTTGCATCACATTTTAGGACTCCAGAAGCATCCAGCTCCTTGAGAGCAGTGAGGTGTGAACACAGTTGCCCTTTCCCCAAGTAGTCTGTGAACTTGGTTATTGGTGAATTGTGCTCCAAGTACTGGCTTTTGGGTTTTCCATTATGAAACACCAGTGGGTCACTTCAGCCTGATACAATCCACCTTTTCTGTGGCCAGCAGGCCGCTGGTTTTGAGGTCATGGTCAGCGCTGGACTTGCTCCCGCCATGGGAGGGCCGCCAGTGGAGCAGTAGCATCTTCTTGAAGTACTTCATGGTGTTGTTCTTGACGGCCACGAAGCAAACGGTGTTGATCATGCTGTTGCTCATGGCGATGCACTCGACGACATAAAAGGCTGTGAGGTAGTGCTTCTCCTTCACGAATACAGTGGGGAAGAAGTCGCGCACGATGGTGAAGCCGTAGAAAGGCGCCCAGCACAGCACGTAGGCCGTGAGGATGCACATGAGCACCAGCACTGTCTTCCGGCGGCAGTGCACCCGCTTCCGGATCTGTTCCGTCTGGAAACCAGGGACCGCCTTGAACCAGAGCTCCCGGGAGATCCTGGCGTAGCACAGGGTCATGGTGACCACTGGGCCCAGGAACTCGATGCCGAAGATGAAGAGGAAGTAGGATTTATAGTAGAGCTGCTGGTCCACTGGCCAGATCTGGCCGCAGAAGATCTTTTCCTGGCATTTGACAATAAAGAGGACGGTTTCCGTTGTGAAGTAGGCTGATGGGATGGCGATGAGGATGGATACGATCCAGACCAAAGCGATCAGGAAGGAGGCTGTTTGATAATTCATCCGTGGTTTCAAGGGGTGAACGATAGCGAGATATCTGGTGGGGGAGGGAAGCTATCAGTGATAATGATGTGTGCTTGTAATCATTATTGGCTTTTAACTAACCCAAACACCCACAGTAGCATACAAAATGGCACAATGACTCCCCACGTACCTAATTTTCCAACATCAACGTGCTTCATCTTATTTTAGCAACATCATTTGGCATTTGGAGGAGAGGAGTGATTTAGTGTAAACAGCACAGGATTTGGGTCAAACAGACAGAATAAATCTTGGCTGGAGTGAATCACTCAGTCTCTCTGAGATTCGTTTCCTCAGATGCACATGAAATAAAATGACACCTACCTTGCAGGGCTGCTGTGAATATTAAATATTATAATGTTTGTGAAATGCTTGGCATGTACTAGGTGTGGCATGTACATGTGGCCTATCATGATTGTAAGTCCTATTGATACCACCTTGGCTTTCCAGCTTGTCATTCTGCCTAAGAACATAATTCTTTCAAAACTCTTCAATCCAAATATCTTCTGGTGTAGAGGTGAAAGAAGAGCTGTGGACTAGGAATTTCTCTCTCCTCCCCTCAGGTGTCATCCTGCATTACAGAGCGGGAGTGGACTAAGGGTAGAATCTGAGGAATCTAGTGAGTTGTAAATGACTTGCCCAAGCTCACTTGGTACAGGGAACAGAATCCAGGCTCCTGATACAAAACTTTTACACCCAACTCCCTGGGCTGTCTCAAGCTCAGATGAGAAGGTGTGTAAAGCAGCACACAGCATAAAACTTTTATCCTGCTCTTTCCAATGAGCAACGCTGCCTGGGAAAGAGGTTGGAGCCCTTAGTGGGAAATGAGCTCATTTGTGTAGGTTGAATACCTTCTTTCCAGAAAAACCTAACAACACCTATTTAGGTAATTTAGTGCCCTGGAATCATTCCTGTGCATTTTATGGAGAGGAAGAGGTGGTGGAGGAAGGTGGAGGAAGAGGTGGTGGAGGAAGGTGGAGGAAGAAAAGAGGCATGAGGGGTAGGGAAGAAACAATACAACCTTGGAAATGAATATGTACCTCTTACCTGGAGCTTGAGTCAGGTTATGACCAAGAGCAGGAAGCCACCCGTAGAAATTGTATCCAATTTACCCTTCTATTGTAACAAGACACTTTGGTCACCTTTCCAAGTTTCTGACTTGACCAAGAAGGCCTTCTGCCATGTTATTTCTGTCTGTCCCTGGCAATATGTCTGTCATGAGATTGTTTTATTGGCTCTTGCCTTCCCCTTGCCCACTGGCAGCTCTGACTCTATAGACTTCAATTAGGAGATCTCATGGCAGCCTGGCTCTCCCCAGCTTGCAGCTTTCTGAAGACATGAGATAAAGTTGCATCCCATCCCAACCATTGGCTACACCCTAGCTGTATATATTAATAAGCAGTGCTTACTGGAGTTCTTCACCCATCCATGGGACCCAGCTTTTCCAAGTTAACCTGCGTGACTTGCCTGGGTAGCACAAGGCTCACAGGGCTGGAGATTGGAACAAATGGGCTAGCCAATCTTTCACTGAGGCAGGGACATCTCACAATCACTGTCTCTCTCTGATACTGAGTGTATCATCTTCCTGTTGCTGTTGTAACAAATTACCACAAACTCAGTGGCTTAGACAGCACAAATTAATTATCTTACAGTTTTGGATGTCAGAAGTCTGACATGTGTCTCACTGGGCTAAAATCAAAGTGTTGGTAGGACTGTGTTCCTTTCTGGAGGCTCTGAGGGGAAAATCTCATTTGTTTCTTGTTTAGGGCTGCCTGCATTTCTTGGCTTAGGGCCAAGGGCTTAGGGCCCCCTTTCATGTTCAAAGCCACCAGTGACCAGTCAAGCCCTTCCCACAACACATCACACTGACTTTTCTGCCTCCCTCTTGCACATCTAAGGACCTTTGTGATTACACTGGGCCCACCTGGATAATACAGTCTCATGTCCTTATTTTATGATCAGCTAATTAGCAACCTTAATTCCATCTGCTATCTTAATTCCCCTTAGTCATAACGTATTCTGGGGATTAGGATGTCAATATCTTGGGGGCGTCATTATTCTGCCTATCATACTGAGTCCAAAGTCCTTAGATAATGCAGAACTAATTCAAGACTTAATAACTCTCTCAGTCTGGTTCTTGCATGAAAAGTATCTCAGTAACCAATGCCAAAGAGAACTTCCACAGCCCTGCTTAATCTGTTGTCAACTCCTAAATTCCAATTCCTTATCCTATAGGATGTTCCAAAATTCAGAGTTGTCATCAGCTAAATAATAAAATAAAGAACACTGGCCTAGGCATTATTCAGAAGCCCTGGATTTCAGCTCTGCACCTAAATTCTTGAATAAATTACTTATGCTCCTGGGACTTAGTTTCTTCATCTGTGAAAGAGAGATAAAAATAACTTTACAGACAACCTTGCAGGCTTTTTGAAACATTCTATTTGAGAAGGTAAATGTACATAAAGCATGGTGGAAGCTATAATATTTTGTTTAAACCCATCTTTTCCCATGACTCATTCATTGGCAAGAGGGATATCTGCCATCTATCTGCTTGGATGTGTGTTTCTTGAGGTCAACACTCTTTTTCTGGGTTCTCTCTGACTTCAAATATCATCCCTTCTAGGCTCTCTGCACATGAACCTTGCTCTTCTGCTGCTGCCTGTGTCAGGGTTTGCAGGTTTATCTAATTCTGAGTAGGATGTGGTCCCCATGCCTACAGATAGAAGCCCATTATTTAATATTAATGTCATCTCAGCAAAAGTGAGAGTTTGGCCGTCATTCATCTTATCATTTTGCCTTATTTTTCAGTTGGTTTGAAACTGAGTGAGAAAGAGGGGTGCTATTTATTTATTAGGGTCCTGGATTGTAAGGGCTGAAATTCCATATGTTGCTTTGACATCTACAGGGCCCCAAAAGCCTAGCTGTGAGTTCCTCTGTTTTCACCAGATATATCCCTCCACCCAGTGAGAAAGGCTCTTGTCCTGCTAGTTCCTCTATCAGTGGGAATAGCTGCACCCCCAATCCTCAACCTAATGGGTTTCACCTCCCTGCCAGTTGGCAAAATCATCCAAACAAGTCAATCACATCCTCCAGTGGCAGCCTCTTGTCACTATAGACACTGCTGCTCACATCCCCTGCTGGTTCATTCTATTCCCAAGCACAGCTCCCACATGACCCTGCCTGGTGTGCAGTGTTCTCCTCCCCTGGGCTGGCAGTATATGAGACCAACCAAGCTCTTTCACCCTCATTGTTCTAGTTTCAGGTGTTGTGTGTTCAGTTATCTATTACTATTGGTGCTGGAGAGTCCTGCATTCATCAACGGGGTGAATAGGAGGTGGTCAGAATAGCACACTCGAATTGCAACACCTTCCTCATGAAGCGTTCCCAGACTGCATCACTAACATAATCATCTGCCTTTCTCTGAGTTACTCTTCACATCACTAGATTATTCTGGTTTTTGTGTGGAAGAAAAGCTCCCTGAGGTCAAAGACTGTGTCTTCTACTACTTTATGTTTCCATACGCATAGGTTGGGCACACAGTAGAACCCAGCAACCTGTGGATCTACCAGGTTGTAGCAGATGCTGTTGGTCCCCCTCTCTTATCCCTTTGCTTTTATCACTTCACTGTATGCCTGTCCACTGCCACCTGCTAACACCTGCATTTCTTTGTTGGAAGGCCTTCTCTGGCTTCCAGAGTCCTCTTGGTAACTTGCACAGAATTTCCAGAGTGGCCCTGACAAATGACTTATGAGGGTTGGTGTATAAATATCCTAGTTCCCTCCCACCTCTCACTCCTGGGAGAACTCTGAGGTGTGATCTACACCAGCTCCAAGAGTTCTGTGGCAGGAATAAGCATCAGCTGTGCACAGTGGAAACTTGTTCAATAACACAGCTTGTATTGACTGCCTTCCCTTGCCTGCCTCATTTCCTATCTCCCTATAGGTGCTTACTGAGGGCTACCTGCACATGAATCCTTGTCTCAGGGTCTATTTTAGGGGTAAACCACACTAAGGCACAGGTTTGAGGCTCTGCACTAAGCACTATGGAAACATGAAGATAGAAGTGGTTATTATGCTTAAAACACAATGTCCTTTGGAAAAGACTGTCTGTGTCCCCAGACACAGCATGAGATTAAAAGATTGGTGTCAGATTACAGACTCTGGAGTGCTAGACTCAGGATTTGGCATGTGTTCTATAGGCATCAAAACTTTTGGAGGTTTTGTAAGGAATGAGATATATTAGAAAGACTCTTCAGTGGTGATATTCTGATGCTTAATATAGATGAGTATAGATTTCAAGGGACAGTCAGGGGCTCCTGATGGGGTGAAGAGACTAGTTAGAGGAGCATTATGATGGTCCAGCCATGACTTGCCAAGAGATGAAGCTGGAGGGACTATTGTCAGGATCTGGTGTAAGGCTACACCTGGTGTAGGGGTGTGTGGGTGGCAGTAGAACAGGGAGAAAGGAAAAGGATGATGGTAGTATCTCCTGCTTGGGTGACTGGGAGTTGGTGGAATGGCTGACAGAGCTGGAAGCTGACTGAGGCAGAGCTGGTTTGGGGTGGAAAATGAACCACTCTGTATTGTAACAGAATGGTTGCTTCCTGAGAATCTCCCATGTTACAAAAGAAAGAAGAAAGAAGGAAAGAAAGAATGAAAGAAAGAAAGAAAGAAAGGAAGGAAGAAAGAAAGAAAGAAAGAAAGAAAAGAAGGAAGGAAAGAAAGAAAGAAAACAAAGAAAGAAAAAAGAAAGGAAGGAAGGAAGAAAGAAGGAAAGAAAGAAAGAAAGAAAAAAAAAGAAAGAGAAAGAAAGAAAAACCCCACAACTACATTAGGAAGACAAAGGTTTCAATGGAACAAAGGTGATGAGAACAGTGGTAACTCACTTGAGTAAACATCAGAATCATTCAGGGATTGGGTAAAATGCAGATGCCTGGGCCCTAGCCCAGGGGATTCCCATTCAGTAGGGGCCCAGGAATCTGACTTTGTACCATTGTACCAAACATACTTTGTATCATTTCCCCTGGGGAATTTTGTGCATTTGGTTGATAGGTAAGTTTCATAAACACTGGGTTTAGGGCTTACGAGCCTCAGAGTTGTGATAACAAAATTGTTTTTTCTTGCAGGAATTAAGTTATAAATAGGAAGATGCCTCTTATACCTGTATGTGTATTATATTATCATAAATGAAAAATAATCACTGGGTTGATTAAAAAGGACCACAGACCTAAATAGCACTGAGAATAAGGGAAAAACTGGAGTTGAAAGGAGATAAAAGGGAAAAAGATGATTAAAAACACATCATCAAAATGAGCATAACTCACAATGGTGGACCAAGAAGACGTGACACAAATTACCCCCCTCAAACAGAGCCACTGGTAGTCCAGTGCTGGCCTACAGCTATTTACATAAATAAAACATGTATAAGATTTGTCTGAAGCTGCTATTAGAAATTATACTTTATAAATTTACAATAGATCAAGGACTTACAGAGCATCTCATGCAAATATATGCAAATAAGCGCATGGATGTATGCAAAAAAGAAAGGCAAGAATGTCCTTCCCTCTTTTTTGCAACTGAACCCTGTAATCTTATTTTAAAATCAGCTCTGCCACAAAGTCACCAAAAACAAGAGTACATACTGTATGATTCCATTTTTATGAAGTTAAAAAATAGGCAAAACTAAACTATGATGCTAGAAATCAGATCAGTGGTTGACTAGGGTGGGAGGAATGACTGGTAAGGGTCACAAGGAAACTTTCTAGGGGATGGAAATGTTCTATATCTTTGGGTAGTAGTTACAGGAAAAACTTCACACATGCTATCTTGACTTGAAGCTGCCCTGGCTAACCTAGTTAACATGACTTCTAAGTGGTAACCTGCCTAAACTTGCTGCTTTTGCTTTTGTGTTTGGTGAAGCTCTTGGTTATATGACATGCCTGTATCTGAAGCAGATGTGGTGTATGGGGGCATGGCCCAGAGCTGGGAGGCTCAGGAGCCTCAATCTTGTCCACATTTGGGAGAACATGAGCCACAACTGGAGAAACCAAGTCTCCTTTTGCCTTGATAGATGGGCACGCATTTGGATCTGGAGTAATGCCAACGTTTAGCTGAAGTGAGGAAAGAGGTAACCTGGGCCACCTCCATGTTTACCCCTATCCAACATCCTCACCTGTCGATAGCGATGGCCAGCAGGGCATTGGTGGAGACATAGAGTGAGACGGTACGCAGGTAGTTGACAGAGGCACAGAGCACATGGCCGTGCTTCCAGGAGAGCTGGTGCACCACATAGTAGTCCATCTCAAAGGGGCAGCAGACAATGGCCACCATGAAGTCGGAGATGGCCAGGTTAGCAATGAGCAGGTTGGTGAGGTTGCGCAGCTTCTTATAGCGGGCAAGGGCAGTGATAAAGACAAAGTTTCCAATGCCACAAATCAGCATGATGCCCACAAGTGCCACCCCGATAATGATCTTGGCTGCAAAGAAGGTGTGAGTCTTGGTCATATCCTCATCCTCATCTAGAGGGAGGTCGTAATCACCGTAACTGAAGTTGAAGGGGAGGGAGGAGGCATGGTCTTGGGATATACTGAAGTTGGTTGCAAAACTAGTGTTTCCATTCTGGGCTGCCATGGTGAAGCTTGCCAGTGAGTGCAGGAGTCTCCGTGGTCTGAGTACTCTGAGCTGGAGGTCCAGACCCTCTGCTTTCATGAGGTCAGAGATCTTAGCACCCTGCCCACATCTGTGGGGAGTCAAGATGCCATCATGGATCCTGGAAGGAGACACAACCAGTTGATAAAATATAGGAGAACACCTGGTAGCATCCTCCCAGAGTCCCCCCAGGTATAGGCAAAATGTAGGAGAACACCTGGTACCATCCTCCCGGAGTTCCCCCAGGTATAGGCCAACCAGATGCAGTGTCTAACCCACAGACAGAACTACCCATGGCACAGAGGGGAGGACACATGAGTTCTGGAAATTGGGAAACCCTCTATTGGCTGTCGAGAGGGACTGGGCATGGGATGGATTGGACTCCCCAGAGACACTCAAGAAGAATGTTTATCTTTGCCCTTTGTCCAGGGACCAGGACCAGTTTGACTGCCCAGTCCCCCTCCCCCCAGCAGCCCCCATAGGGGTCTTCTGTAAGTTTTTCCCAGCTGCTCAGGCAGCTGGCCCAGGACTCTATGGCAGTCACAACATTGTGCCAGCTGTTGGTCAGGGACAATGAAGCCAGAGGATGGGGATACAGCAGGGTCCTTCCCCCCAAGCAGGGACTGCTCCCTCTGTCCTGGCCAGTCCACAGACTTGGAAATCACCATTTTCACATGGACAGGCTGAGTCAACTTGGGCCAGTGATTTATGCTCTCTGAATCCCAGTTTTCCTGTAAACCAAATTCCTTTTGCCTAGCCCAGGGCCTGGCACAGAGTAGGGGCTGGATAGGAATCTGCTGAAGGAATGAATGAGGATCCTGACCAGGACTCTGCAGGTGGAGGGGCCTGTGGGTGGGAGGGAATTCTCCTGCTGCGCTGCTGGGCCACTCTAGAAAGAAGTCCTCTGTCTGCTCCCCTTCCCTGTCTCCACTCTTTTGAGCTGTCCCTTCACCAGGCCCCCAGCTCCCCTTCCAGAATCAGCCTTGATTGGGAGGTACCACATCTTGTCACCAAAGTCTGTGTCCTCTGAAAGTGGTGGCTGCTCCAAGACCTCGCTTAACTGAAAACAGCCACCCAAAGGGGGTGGGGGGAGTGTCAGTGAGGACCCAGGAGGGCCTGAGGGCTGCCTAAGTCCTCTACATTCTTGGTGCCTCCAGATGCCCGCGGGGGAGGAAGTAAAGTCTCTGAAGTACTGAGCCCTCAGGAGACTGGGCACTATTGTGTCTGGGCACGCTATCTCTGACGGACTGGAAAAAGAACCCAGATCCAGCACCTGAGGAATGGGGTTCCCGGCCATCCAGCCATGAACCACCTTCCCCCACCTCTTAGCACACCTGGAAAGGACTCCAAGTGTGGGGGCTGTGGAATGCTGGAAGCAAGAAGTGGACCAAACTGGACAGTAGGTTTGGCCCAGCCCTGTGAGAAGAGAGGGTGAACGAAGGACAGGAACTGCTCCCGGAAGGGACAGCAGTCGCAGGGTGGCGGGGACACTCCAACCTGCGGCGCGCCTGCCTACTATATACCCGAGGGGAGGCTCAAAACCGCAGCTGGGGGCGTCCTCTTTTTGGGTCGCCTCTCCGTCTCACGCGAGACCCCAACCCCCACAGACACTGCACAGCCTGAGACGGAGAAGCGGGAGTTGCGCCCTCTCGGCTTCTACGTTCGGCTGCTCTTCGGTCCCGGGACCCGCGAGGAGACAGCGGGCGCCCGGGCTAGAGCAGGTCCCCTCCCCGTTACCGCTGGATGCACTCGCTGCCCTTGACCAGCCCGCTCCAAGATCCCCGTCCTTCCTCTCGCTTATTAACCGGCCGGCACGGCCGCGCGGCTCCCGGAGGCGCTGCCCCGGCAGGGGCGGAAATCGTCGGAAATTTAAGCTAGAGAAGCAAAGCCTGTGGGATCTCCAGGCGGGAAGAAAACTGGGGGTGGAGGGAGGAGACGGTGAACGGGAATTTTCCCAGAGAAAATTCCTCCCCTTTCCTGCTCACCTTCCCGAGGGCGCCCCCCGCCCACTGGCAGCTTGGCGCCCGCCCACCCACTGGCTCCCTCGGTCTGCGGCCTCACTGCCCAGTCCCAGCCTACGGTCCCCGGCCTGGTCATCTGAGGGCACCCACTCCTCTAGTGCGAGTCAGCCAGGGCGCATCCCTAGGGCGGCAGAAGGCAAAGCGTCCCGAAGACCCCAGAGAAAGAAGTGGGCATCGGACCCCTCAGCCCGGGCGACGCCCCCCACCCGGCCACTGGAACCCCAGTACTGCGCGGAGCTCTGCACCTAGGGGCTTCCGCTTTGGCTCAGCGCGCTTCCCAGGCGAGTCGCAGTCTCCGGGTTCCCGCTAGCGTTGGCGCTCCGCCCGCGAAGCTCTTCCCGGCTTCTGGGGCGCGGCCGAGTGCGCCCGCCCCGCGCTCGGCTCCGCCCCGGGGTCCCCGCCTGTCTCTGCGCGGAGGCGAAGGGTGGGCACTCGGCTCCTGCAACTGGTGCTCCCCAGGCGCCGGACGCATGGAGCTCTAGCCTCCTTGGCGCGGGTGGGTCCCTCTAGAGAGTTTCTGAGCCCTCCGTACCCCCGTGTGAATGGAACGCAGTAGCCTTTTATTTTTTTTTAAACATCTTTATTGGTGTATAATTGCTTTATAATGGTGTGTTAGTTTCTGCTTTATAACAAAGTGAATCAGCTATACATATACATACATGCCCATATCCCCTCTTTCTTGAGTCTCCCTCCTACCCTCCCTACCCCACCCTGTAGGTGGTCACAAAGCACCAAGCTGACCTCCCAGTGCTATGCAACTGCTTCCCACTAGCTAGCTAATTTACATTTGGCATTTTAGATTCCGAAGAACCCGGGAGGCCCTCTGCACCCCTAGGTGGCGCCCCAAGGGGGTTGCCAGTGAAGGAGCTGAGGATCCGAGGATCCTGTCTTCCAGGGAGTCCAGTGACAGCGTCCGCTCCTTCTACACAGTGACTCCTTCTGGAGGAGCCCAGGGTGCATTCCATCGTTCCGGGAGCTGGTGCTAGGGATACTCCGGGGAGTGCAAAATGGGACTTTAGGGTTGTGGGGGAGGAGAACCGCGGGAGGAAGCTGGGGACTGGGGGCAGCTTACCCTGCTCAAAGCTCCGATCCCGAAGTCCTCACTAAAACCTGAGATGTCCACAACTGCCAAAGTCCTTGGTCATTCAAAGACCATCCCAGTTGGGCCTCCTCCTGCCTTTAGGGGGACGCCCGAGCCCTCCACTTTGTTTACAACAGGCTCTGATTTTAGGCAATTTCTATTGCCTCTCTGGTCCTTGGTTTCCTTATACATTGAGCGAGGGGATTAAACTCTCAGGACTTGCAAATTCTGATGACTGGTAGCTGCAAAGCACAGAGGGAAGCTCTGGCTTTACAGAAATGGAACTGGAAATTGTGGCAGGAGACTGAAGGTCTAAAGGGATTCCCTGCTGTTAAATCTCAGCCAATGATTATTGACAGCTTGGAATATGGACTCTGCTTTGTCAGGTCTTCCCATCTTTCCAGAGAGTCTGGGATTTCAGAACTTTATAAAAAATGTTGGGTTAGTTAAAACGAAACAAAAACCCTGTGTTGGCCAAAGAGAACATATCTCAGAATGAATATATCCACTGGGATGCCAACTTAAAATACCTGAATAGATGATTAAGAAACCCTTTGGGTGGTGACATTATGTGATTCTGCCTTTTTCACCTTATGTAGAACTAACCCCCCCTCCTTCTCCTCTTTAAGTTTTTTTTTTCCCCCAGATGTATTGGATATAATTAACATATAACATTGTGTAAGTTTAAGGTATACAACGTGAAGATTTGATACATGTATACATTGTGAAATGATTACCACAATAAGATTAGTTAACACATCCATCACCTCACACAATTTTTTTTTGATGGTGAGACCATTTAAGATTTACTTTCTCATCAACTTTCAAGTATATAATACAGTATTGTTAACTGTAATCATCATGCTGTACATTAGATATCCAGAACTTATTCATCTTTTAAGTGCAAGTTTGTACCCTTCAACCAACATCTCCCCATTACCTCTCCAGCCCCTGGCAACCACCATTCTACAATATTCCATTATATGTATATCTCATCTGTTCATCCATCCATGGACACTTAGGTTGTTTCCATGTTTAGGCTATTGTGAATAATGCAGGTTGTTTCCATGTTTAGGCTATTGTGAATAATGCTGCCATGAACACAGGGGTGCAGTTATCTCTTCAAGATAGTGGTTTTGTTTCCTTCTGATATATACCCAGAAGTGGGATTGCTGGATCATATGGTAGTTCTACTTTTAATTTTTTGAGGAACTTTCACACCTTTTTCCATAGTGGCTGCACCAATTTACATTCCAACCGACAGTGTACAGGGTTCTCTTTTCTCTACAACCTTGCCAACACTTGTTATCCTTTGTCTTTTTGATAATAGCCATTCTAACATGTGTGAGGTAATATCTCATTGTGGTTTTGATTTTCATTTCCCTGATGATTAGTGATATTGTGCATCTTTTCATGTACTTGTTGGCCATTTGTATGTTTTCTTTGAAAAAATGCCTATTCAGCCCTCTGTCCATTTTAAAATCAGATTATTATTATTATTGCTATTGAGTTGTATGAATTTCTTATACATTTTGGATATTAACCCCTTATCTGATAGCTGGTTTGAAAATATTTTCTCCTATTCCATAGGCTGCCTCTTCATTCTGTTGACTGTTTCTATTGCTGTGCAGAAGCTTTTTAATTTGAGGTAGTCCTGCTTGTTTATTTTTGTTTTTATTGAGTGTGCTTTTAGTGTTATACCTAAAAAATGGTCACAGAGACCAATGTCACGGTGTTTTCCTATAAGAGTTTGAATTTCAGGCCTTACATTTAAGTCTTTAATCCATTTCAAGTTAATTTTTGTGAGTGATATATATATATATTATATATATATATATTATATATATATATATATATATTTCATTCTTTTGCATGTAAATA